TCTACGGAACAAGTCGCCACATGTTCCAACCCCCAACCTGGAGGGCCAGGAGACTGTGTTCGTCAGACCTCTAACCATTGACCAACCTGGTATGAGAGACTCTGTGAGTGTCGCGAGACACTCTCCAGTATAGCTCAATGGATCGCTGAGGTGCGCAAACCGTCACACCACGGTAAGGTCCAGTCTCTTCGTGACGGAAATGTCACATACAGGATTATCAATGAAAAAAGAGGAATTTGGAAGTAATCAGGGCATTCAAACGTTTCTGGATGGAGTCACACAAGACTTAGAATGCTGCTGGAGATGTCTATGAGGAAAAAAACATTGTTAGGCCCAGATGAAGTGTATGCAAGCCGTCTAGTTAGCAAAGCGGACTTGGTTGAAAAGCCAGTACACAGATTTCACATGAATTTCGCTTATTTTGGCGATGCAAATCTCGGGGATCTAGGGCATTTGGTGAAGCCAAGTTGCCGTTGAATTAGAAACCGAAATATCTTCGGTCCTTCGAGATGGAAGTAGTTTGTTACAAACGAGTGAAATGACTATTACCTCGAAGCAGAAGCTCAGCAGATTTTCGGAGTTATCTACACACATACCTGAGAAACCCATTCACCGGTGTTGAACACTGATGTCATGCTATCGATGACTATGATGATGATGCATTCACCGGGTTGGAAGAGGCAATTTATCCGTCTGTAGGTTTCAACTCAACACATGCAGGATAATCGTTCAACGATCTCAATAGCAATCTCAATTCAATTTATCAGCTATAAACTGTGTGCCGTGGGCACGTTGGTTCCATTGCTTTCGAACACCGGAAAATGGGAATGTGGAACATAGAACTAGGCCTTGGAGGCGAAGGCATGTTCAGCTTGTTTGGGAATCGGGTAGCTACGCATTGAAGGCGACAGCATGGATGCACGAACGCCACTGACTGCGCGGCTGGGTCATTTCCGCCAGTCACTAACCACTAGTGATTTGAGTCCAGGGGTCCCCATTCAAGGAGGCAGCAGTTGCCCACCCGACTAAGTGTACTGATTAGTGTTTTCGTACTTCGTTGCCAAGTCACACTGATTGCTCAACAGCAATCTGCTGCAACTGATGTCCCAATAAGACCATCTTTATTTCCAACCATTCTGACTCGTCAGTTCTTTCGTTATGCCGTTGGTAAACTTTGAATTCTTCGGTTCCGTCACCTGCACTTTCGTCTCAATGGGCCATCGACTCCGCATCCCGAAATCCCAAAGACGAGACGAGACAGAGTCTACCAAGTGTACACCAACGACGTCTTGGTATCAGCTGTTACTCTCGACAAACACGTGCTGGAAAAATGAAGCATACATGGCAACTTGGATCACGTTTGAGCTGATACGAGTGTGAAGTGAGTTAGCCTCCATTTCGTTTTTGTGATGAGTCCAGCAGTGGCCTTTTGCGACCGGCGTCGTTTAGATCAAGAGACCCACTGTAAACCTAGGGTAGTCCAAATGCATGTGATGCGAGCTATCAGGCGAATACGTCAGGAGATCCAGATTTTCATTTGTCTGAACTTGATATGACGACCATGAACAACCAGTTGAGGAAAAACGGTTTCCCTTATGTTCGCTCCAAGGGTTTACGATGGCAAAAGGCACTCATATGCTTCCACGCGCGGCTCGGAGCGAACCGTGTTCGGCGTTGTTTTCATGTGATGGCCGAAACCAGAAATGTTGCCATCCCCTGCGTTAAAAAAATCGTTCAGCTGTAGCACCCTTTCGGTGCCTAGCTGCCATGTCACCCGAAGGTTGCACGAGGGCTGGGATACTGCCAGGGGAAGTCGAGTGGCAGAGGTCGGGTTCGAACCACGAACCTTCCGGCCAGTAAATTCGCGCTCTAAACACTTGAACCATCTCACCCCTGCGTTTAGACTGTCAACAACTAGAGTAAAAAGTCTGTCAGGAAGAAATCGGACCTTATTGTGATGCGATGGTTTCCGTATCCTGGTAACTCATTTAGCATGTATTGGAGAACGTCCACGTAAAATCCTCAAATCGCACACTACCACGATGGTTTTTGGAGAGACTGAATAGCACAATCCCCTAGCCTTCTAGGTTGGGTATTCGAACGACAATGGCAATTTGTTCCTTAAATTCGGACTGCTCCAGGATTCTTGAACATTACTGTCTTGAGGTCAGGCGTCTAAACAAAAGGCTTTGATGAAAGACCCTAAGCATCCCCCGTTTGACTCTGAACACCCTGAAAGTATCTTGGCCCAGGAACAACCATTATGGCACCAGTGAGTATCCTAGGTATACTGCTACGAAACATGGTGATTACGAAACAGGAAGTAAATAATCCGAAGGGAAGAATACTATTCATACCAGTAGTTATAGCTGATTAGCTTCCACCTAGGGCTTCTATCCAAAAAATGATTACGATATTTGTGGAAAAACGGCTGGTTCGCGGGCAGAACAAGCAAACCATGATCAGCTTGCTGAAGTGAATGAGGTCAATGGCGTCTACATCTTCACTCAAACAGCGTACAGACAACCAGCAGGGACCAAACCGAAGGTATAGAGCTGTGGACAAGCTATCCTCATACCCTTAACAATTCTCCGCACTACAGAACTCTAGACTTCGTCTGACTCACCAGTGAACATCATTCATGGGATCTGACCGTACATTTAACTCCAAACCAATCTTATTTCACAGACTACATCGATGTTCTGTTCAATAGAATGCCTACTACTCGTCAGCCGTCACTGGAGGAAGACGCTCCCGACTGGGATATACACACAAGTCAGAGATGCTAGTGAAAAGGTAGTAGACACATTATCATGGTCTGAGGTCGTTCCAATAGCCTTATGAATATAATCCATTGCATAGTTTGGTACATGCTCACGTTTTGAGAAAGATGGCACTATCATAAGAGAACCTCTTGCACAAATAACAGATTGATATAAGAACTTGATTGCGTTATAGACAGAAAGCTCACGCTGCTCACATGAACCGAGCACCCGGATGCATTGTTACAACTCAGTTTTGATGCGCCCAAGATGCGAGTGTTTGTCAATTACATTCATAGAGATACAGCTTAATGTTCGCTGAAAAACTTACAGCTCCATCAGCCAACGCAGTCCTCTTGAGCGACACTGGGCATAAATGCTAGGGTGCTGCAAGGTTAAGTCACAAGATAATCCTGATGAGCTTTGTGGTCAGAGAAGCAAATGCGACTGAAATTGGAACAACGGAAACCTAATTACCTCTTTCACCGATACCAAATTGTCAGAGTCATTGAACAGGTGGACGTTAACGAATTCCACAACACAGCCATCAATACGCCAGCGAGTACGAATGAAGCCCTTTCGAGATGCGACACCCTGTGGCAAATTTCGATAGGAAAAACACGACAAGTGATTACGTAAGTGATCAGGTAAGAGTCGCAAACAGTAAGTCCATGAATGAAACAAAAGATGCGGTAGTCTCCTCAAAAAGAGCAATTGCCTACCGCCCCCAAGCTAAGAATTCCTCACATAACCGTGACAGTTGACACTTTTTGAGAAACCGGCACTGACTACAAACGAATCCATTCCATGTGTTCCCTAACAAGGATGCGAAACTCGCGCATTGCCTTCTCGGATCTTCCAGAACTGAATAGGTACCTGACTACTCGTACGGTATACAGGACCAGTTCCAAGGTGATTAAGACCACGAAACACGGTCTTCCTTTGCACGGCATCTAACCTTGAGGGTAGGTTCCAGTTTGAGGGACCCGGTGACGAAACCTCTGAAGGATTCGACTATTTGGGGGTACTAAGTAGTTGTAAGGGCTGCAAGCGACCAGGCAAAATCGGTTTTCTCTGAGATGGACGCCGTAAACGGAGGAATATGTAGAAAAAACCCACTGGGTTTCACGTCAGCGGATGCTGGTTAGGGTTTTTAAAGGCCAACATAACTCGGACCTGAAATACCGCTTGGTCCTGATGCGTTACTCTCATAATGGATAATGGTAAGCACCACTTTCAACAACAGTACACTCTACCCGTACCATAGATGCGGCTGATACCAACTGACCATAAGTTAAGAAATGGAGCCTTTTTTTGGCAGAATCCAGAATTTCAGCGCATGCACTTTTACCATATGTGGTCAACTGAGTGGAGCGAGTAAATTTATTCATTTTTGAGGAAGTAACTAGGCAATAGGCACACAATTCCTATCACCTGTATTTCACGGCATTGTACTTTTCATTGCGGTCAAATGACTGTTGTGAAAACTGACCACAAGGGCATTGAACTGTTGAAGCCTAATATCTGACAAACGCTGATGGAGTCAATTACAGGGTTCTCAGTTCATGGGCCCTATGACACTACTATGACACTAATACCGACCAGGTCGCTCAGGGCAAAACAGATAACTGTTCCAGGTGGCTGTGAGAATGATTTATTCGCCGCAAAAGGGCGATTCCTCATCCCGCAAAGGAACCTGATCTTCAGGAACAAGCGCTGATGGTATATATATATATATATATATATATATATATTCCAGC